GCTGTTACGCAAAAACCGCGATAGAGTGAAGCCGCGGAAGTCGAAGCGCGAAGTGGCGAGGGTTCACTGTACTCCTTTTATCACTTAATATCCCTGGGCGGGGGGTGGGGTGGGGTGCAGATGGTTTATGCTTATCTGCCAACTTAAGGGTTGGTAGATAACACCTCCCCCACCCCAAAGTGCTGCAGAAGAAAGTCGGGGCAACCTGCTGGCATAAAGATGACAGCCAAGAAAACCCTCTGGTTCAGTTCTGTTCCATAGGAAATGGAGTTGCCGCAAGTCAGAATCAACTCAAATTCAATAGGTTTTGGGTTTCTATACTTTCTATGGTTTGATTTTAAAAGGGATAACTCACATGCTCACCCATGTCCAAGGCAGCACTATTCATAATAGCAAAAAGAGAGTAACTCATAGAATTATGAGGGGTTTTTTCTTCACATGCTTACAACTATGTCTGTCACCTGGCAAGCAATCAGAAACATGAGTTACTAGTTTTTAAATATTTTTATGAAATTGATCATTCTGGATTTGGGAAGTCAAATGGAAATAAAGCTATGATTTAGATAATGGTTATTTCATTTGTTTGTAAAAATATATTTATGTTTGTGTAAGGGCAGGTTGACTAGAGAAACAAAGCCAGAGACACTCATATTTGTGTAAGAAATAACATATCAATAAGTTATTATATATTAGAAAAACATCCCAGCCCAGTCCAAATCAAATCCATAAGTCCAATACTAGTCCAAAAATTCTTCTTCAAACTCACACAGTGACAAACAATGATGCAGAATGCAGGAAGATCACAAGTTGGTGGTTGCAAAGTTGTGTGGATCCAGTGGCAGTTGATGTATCACAGAGCTCTGTCAACAACTAGGGTCAGCCAACAGGAAGGTGAAGGCACAAGGAGAGAAGGGAGGTTCCCAAGACTCTCCTTATGAAAAGGCCACACCCACAAGAAGGCACCATCAGGCTGGGATCTGATTGACAGATTGAATACCACCTCTACACTTTTATATATCTTCAAGTTGACATGAAATTATATAACTAATGTAGACCACCTCTTGTCAATGTGACACGTTTACACAACTCTTTAGCCATAACAAAAATTTAAAACAAATACAATAGTAAAATTATATCTATATGTATAAAATTTATATCTATACCTATAAAAATTACATCTATACCTATACAAATTACATCTATACCTATAAAAATTATATATATATATTATATAAGATATAAAATTATATATATACCTATAAAACTAAAATGGATGATTCAATATGTCTCTCTCATTTAAACATGACATTCTATAAGTGAATGAAACAAAAATATCTTATACCTAACAATTGCAGTTAAGTAACACCTACCCCTTAATCCTATAATCCTGTGAATATATTCCCCCACCTATGAAAGTATGTAAGCCAACAACTTCATTGCCTTTATCCGCCACATTTGGGGTATCCAATTTCTATTCTGACAACATAAGTTATTATATATTAGAAAAACATCCCAGCCCAGTCCAGATCAAATTTACACCAACCCAGTGCTCTGAGGAGACAATCATATTCTTTGACATGAAGAAACTTCATTCCAGTTGGAACTTTGTAAAGTCCGCAACCATAAGCAAAGGCAAATCAGGACAGGCCATCCATAAAGTCTGCAGCAACATGCAACAGTTCATAGGCTCAAAAATCTTCTCTTCATCTGGTCGGATTCTGATCAATTAATTCAATGTGGGTTGCCTCACTTAGCCTCACCACGGTGCCCATTGGTCACCCTGCCTTTAGACCACGGCCCCGTCACAAATTCTCAACAAATCCAGCCACCTTGTGCTAGGTCATACATAAACTTCAGACCAGTCAACCCACTCTTTGCCTTCTTTGCTGGCATTTCCTACTAACTCATTTAACAGACTAATTTAATGGTTGAAGGCAGTGGGCTTACAAATTCTCTCTATTCATACTTCCCATTAATAATTTCTATCACACATTATATAAATAACAATTGGTAGAAGAAATTAGTATAATCCTAGTACAGCCAGACCCTAAACAAATTATTAAAACAGTCAAATTCAATCCTATCTTAACTAAGCTATCCCATTAATACGTAAAATGGCCTTAGGCCTCTAGCTGCTTCAAGCCAGGGCCAGGCCTTCTGTCAGCCATTTTGACTAAGCAATATGGCTTCACAGAAGTGAAGTCATTTCACAATTTGTTAGGAATAAACAAAGACAAAGTCTAGGAATCAAAACCTTCACTTCCCATGACCTTTTAGAGAAAGCAATTAAGTAAACAGTGTGGCTCTATGTGACCTCCAGCTAGCCAAAGAAGAAAAACTACCCTAAAGCAGGCATCCGACAAGGATGCACTCTCCATCTTCATGATTTGTTTCTCTAGTACCCCGCTCCCAAGGTACCGTAATGTATGAGGCTGGGTTGACTAGAGAAACAAATCCAGAGACACTCAGATATGTGTAAGAAAGCGTTTTATATCAAGAAGCAATTATATATCAGAAAGCATCCCAGCCCAGTCCAACACCAGTCCATAAGTCTGATACTAGTCCATACATCTCTCTTCAGACTCATGCATGGACTAGTATCAGACTTATGGACTGGTGTTGCATCTTTCTTACATCTTTATGAGGAACAGGAATGGGAATATCGATACCAAAAGGGTAGAGATGGGGAGGGAGGGGGTACCGATAGAAATGAATGGCACATAACCACACACCCCCATCCAGGGGGAAGGACAACAGAAGCCAGAGGGGAAGGGAGATAGCAGTTAGTGTGAGATATGAAAATAATAACAATCTATAATCTGTCAAGGGGCCACAAGGTGGGTGGGGAGAGAAGTTGATCTCAAGGGCTCAATGGGAAGTAAATGTCTAGAAAAGAATGATGGCAATATATATACTTATATGTCGGATACAACTGATGTATACATTGTAACAAGAGTTGTAAGAACCCCCAATAAAACATTCTAAAAAAATCCAACAAAAACATAACTTTTAAATTACAGTTATGAGAGGGTCAATAAAAGTAGAACGTCATAAAAATTTAAAAAAAGAAATTATATAACTACCACAATGCCTCTCAAATAATTTTAAAATTGTTGATACGGGATTGACTCTCCCACCTCAAAAGTTTACTGACCCCTGTATTCACTGTTAGTTCTCACTAGTTCTCAATCTTCATCAGTCTCCATTTCTACATCCCCCTGACCTATACGCGATAATTCTGTTTTATACCACTCCCCATGGTTTTGCTTAATGTCATTGAGGATGGCTTCCATAGTATAGCCAAACTCAATGACACTAGAAATCCCATTCAGGTACTTGTAAGAAAAACCAGCAGTATGCATGGCTACTAGTTCGAAGGATGAGTTAAACACTGGAGAGCCAGAAGACCCAAAGTAAAAGCTGGTGTCATAAGTAATCACATTAGAATCATCTAATTGTGGCTTGAAACTGTTCTCCGTCTGCAAAAAAACATACGGTATATTGTGACCCAGGGCTTCCCCAGCATCTATTCTGTTTTTGCATGCTTCTTCTCGACAACTCAGAGGGATCATACAACAATTATCAGTCGACTTTTCCTTTCCATCTGGATAGCCAATAATATGTAACAACCCATTAAGTGGTACAACCTGAGCTTTTCTATCACATAGTTCCAAAGGCAGTTTTTGTTCACGTATCTTCAGTTTCAGGACAGCATAATCAAGAGCTACATCAGACACCTCGAACCAAGGTTCAAAGGTAAAGCGTTTGAATCTGCTAAACTCTTCATCATCATCAAATGTCATCCATGCAGATGCACTAATTACATCTGCCCACCTACTTGGCTCTATTCCTTCTCCTACAATGCAATTTGTTACATGCCGACAAGTAAAAATGAAGGGTTCTCTATAAACAAAGCCAGTAGCAGATCCTGTGTTTCCATTGTTGTTCCAGGATATACGCCCAACACCCTCACCAAAAGTAACGAAATTTTTGTGTTCTCTCATCGTGGTGGAGTTACTGACCAGTTTCCCAAAGTTTTCTTTATGTAATTTAAACAATGCATTTTTCTTCCTCTTGTCTTTAATTTCTTTGTTTAAATATTCTGTGATTTTTTTACTGTCTTTCTCCAAACTGGGATACTGGTCCATGATTTGTGTATTCAACACACTGGCTGTTCTTTGCACTGACTCAGAATTCTGAGAGATGGCTCTCTGGGGGCTGGTTTTTCTCCTTGTTTTTTCAACCTCAAGTTCAAAGAGCCTGCCCTCTAACTCATCGACTGGCTGCGTGTTTTCTATAATGAGTTCCAGGTTTTCAATAAGTTTCCATTCCTCTTTCTCCAAAAAGGAAAGAAACCGCCCATCCTTGTATAGTGCATCCTTGATAGTTTCTCCTTTGAAGGCATAGACGCAGAGCTGGGACCCTTTTATGTGAAGCTGATTGCACTTAACAATCCTTCTTTTCTCCTTGCCAATTGCAGAAATATTAAATTTGATACAGTCAGCACCAACGGTTGTTTCAAGCCGATGATGTATCTGATTCCCTTGTTTACTCTTGGTTACTACAAATTTAATTTCCAGGTGGGACCCTTCAGGAATACAACTAAGGGGCATTCCAAGGTTTAAGTAACCTTTGATGTAGTCTGTGCCACACACCAGCATCTCTTTGTCTGGCTGAACTTTCATCACATTTTGGACAGCTTTGAGAGAATTGAGTGCCTCATATAAGCTATCTGTCTTTTTGCATCTGAGTGTATGTTTCCTGTTCTCATTGCCCTTGCAGTTGACATTCAAGGTAATGGTCAGATTGACCAGGTCTTCTGGATTTTGCCAAGGCGAATGAGATCTCCGAGCTTGGGTGTCATCAGTCATAGTTCTAGACCTCATCTCCATTTGAGGAATATTCTCTTGTTCTTTACTGACCTAAATAAATAAAAAGGAGGTTAGATGCTTTAATACTCTGAATGCAACCCTAGTCTTTAGCTTTCCTTTCAGTATTCAATTCACCCAATTTCTATGGGACATCGATCTCAACAGGTGAGTGAACAGAATTAGACCAGAGTTCGACTTGGGATCCAAGCATACGCTGAGTTTCCTGTCACATCAGTTAGAGGAACTGTTGATGTCTCCACATTGGAGTGTTTTTCTGAGAAACAGAAGGGGGAACATACAACCTTTTTGGTGGATGCATCAGAAACAGGCAGTGTTTGGAAGTCTCCCATCTCTCTGAGAGTGTCATATCAGGCTTTGTTTATTATTTTTCAGTTATACAAATTTTAAGAGTGGTGGATTCTACCAAGCATTTTCCTCTTAAAGTTCTAAATCCTCAAATAGTAAATATTGATATATTATCAGGCTGACATATTAAACAACCCTTAGTTCAATGTTAGACTAGTGAACCAATCATGTGTTTTAATAGTATATTACAGCCACTTCTCATAATAAGTACCTTGATTCACTTAGCATTTATCATAAAAATAACTTAAATTATTTCCTTTATTAATCAACAAATCCCTGCATCCTATGAAATGAAGAGGAGCAGAGGCGGCCTTCCTACTCTTTGGATGGGAAAATGAAGGCTCAGGAAGTTTTTCTTGTAAGTACCTTCCATCAGGTCACACAATAATAGAGGGATGAATGGAATGAAAGATTAAATGAAATATTATGTCTGACCATGCCCAGCACAACAACTAAACCATAGTAGATTAAATTGTAATCTTGGTTCTCCTTACAATATGAGCACTAATATTCTGGATGGAGGCTTTGAGCTTTAGGGATTGTTAGCTACTAACCCAATGGCCATTGGTTCGAACACGACGTACGTGTAAGTTTGCTATGAAGACTGAGGACACCACTCAAATAGCATGCATTTTTGCTTTCACTCCCTCATTCAGTGCATTGGGTGGAGTCCTGGTGGCATGGTGGGTTTCATGTCGGGCTGGTGACATGTCAGCAGTTCAAATCCACCAGTTCGAATGCATGGGAGCCTTTCTCCGCCTGTAAAGATTTACAGCATCAGAAGCCCAAAGGGGGCCAGTTCTACTGCACCCTAGAGGGTAGCTGTGAGTCAGCACTGACTGCATGGCAGTGAGTTGGATTTAGTATATTGTATTGGCTGTTTTTCTTTTCTTTTCCAGAAAGCGTTATGATAGTTTTTGATTAAAAGCTACTTTGACGTGGTCAAAATCATGGCTACAATTTTCCTTCCACCACAAAAAAAGAGAGAATAAAATGAATTAGAAACGTTTAAATTTGTTTATGAGTCCCATTTTCAGTATCCAAATAGGTGATTTCTTGGCAGAAAGAATTATAAAAGCCTTTTCAAGAATGGATATATCTCATCCTGGTAGACTGTATTTCATGGATGTTATGTATACACGTACTGGAGAAAAATACTGCTCAATCTTCTTATTATTCTTTCCACCAAAGTGGGACTTCTTTATCTTCTGCTTGTTAGAGCTCATGATGGCTTGAAGATGAACGGGCAGTTCAGCTGAAACAATAATTTTAAAAAGGTTCATGTCAGAGCATCTTAACAGTTATAATTATTGTAATCTTATTGCATAAAATTATCTGGGGTCCTGAGTCCCACCTTTCTATTTCAGTTCCAGCCATCCTCTATCCCCACTCTAGACGTTGATGTTAATTTAAAGAGAGTAGATCTACCAAGTATAATACCTCCTCCATCTCTTTCTCTCTCTCTCTCTCTCTCTCTCACACACACACACACACACACACACACACACACACACACACACACACACACACGCTGCCTTTTATGGAGCAGGGAGGCCCTGGGGGTACAAATGGTTAAAACACTCAGGTACTAAACAAAAGATAGGGCATTTGAGCTGCCTCAAAGGAATGATCTGGTAATCTACTTTTGAAAAACAAAATCAGCCAATGAAAAACTGTTCTTTATATAGGGTCTAATCCTGTGGTATATAGGGTCTAATCCTGTGGTATATAGGGTCCCTGGGAATTGAGGCCAATTTGATGGTGACTCACAACAATAACAACTCATCAATGATAATTTTTATCAGATCACCGGGGTTCAAAGATCAGGATTCAAACATCATTTATTAGCTACATGACCTTGGGCATATGAATGAAGCATTCCCAGGCCCATTTTCTTCACCTCTAAGATGGGAGTAAGGTCTCTGGGTGATGCAAATGGCTTATGCTCAATTATTAACATAAAGGTGGCGAGTTTGAACTCACTCAGTGGCTCTAGGAGGAAAGGCCTGACAATCTGCTTCCTGTAAAGGTAACAGCCAAGAAAACCCTATGGAGCAATTCTATTCATGGGGTCATCATGAGTTGGGGTCAACTCCAGGACAACAGGTTTGGTTTACTAGTTGAGATGGGACTAGTGGTATAACCTCTATTGAAAATAAATAATATGATGAAGTTTTCTGTTTTACTCATATATAGACCACTTGTCTGTCAGCCACTATACACTTGGATGTTTTTGCATGGCACACACAAAAATCAAATTGACTACATCTGTGGAAAGAGACAATGGAGAAGCTCGTTGTCATCAGCTAAAACCAGGCCAGGGACTGACTGTGGAACAGACCATCAGTTTCTCATATGTACGTTCAGGTTGAAGATGAAGACAATGAAAACAAATCCTTCTCTCTCCTTCTTACTTTCATTGAGTCGATGCCAACTTACAGTGACACTTTAGGACAGAGTAGAACTAGCCATGTGAGTTTCTGAGACCGTAACTCTTTACAAAGGGTAGACAGCCCCAGCTTTCTACTGGTGGTGTGGAACTGGTGACCTTCCATTTAGCACCCCAATTTGTAACCACTAAGTCACCAGGGTTCCAGGGGAGCCAAAATATGACCTTGAGTATACCCCACTGGAATTTTAAGAGCATCTTGAGAACAGCTTTGCCTCAATGGTCTAAAACAGCTCGGCCAACACTTGCCAATGTTCCACGGAGCTGCAGGAACCTCTGCCCAAACTCGGCAGTGATCTACCTGACCATGGAAATTCTGCGCACCATTTGGGGTATTCTACACCAAATCAGGCAACCCACCAGTCTTCTGGGGCACTCCCCTTGAGAGTAAAGCCACAGGAGGGTAAAGTGGTAGGTTAATTCCATAGTGAAATTAGCTGTAGACAGTTCGAAGAAGAATTCCTACAAGTCACCCCGAGAGTGCCAGTGCTCTCCAGCTCCCTGGAAAATGGCACCTGGCTCCTCTAAAACAATGAAACGCAAACAGCAATCAGCCCCCAAGAACTCGACGAAAAAACAGGAGAAACAAAAGGCAAGGACAGAAGATGTCCTGAAACTAATGACGTGAATAGAAGAAGCAGACATTGATCTGCCACAAAAATAAATTTTCAGAATGCTGCTTGGAGTCATACAGGATATGAGAGAAACAATACAGAAAAAGGATGAAATGATAGAGGAGAAAAAATCCATACACCAGAGGAAAATACAAGTGCTTAGGGACGAGATAACAAAAACCAGTAGCAGACTCATAGACTCATGGAGGAAGCATAGAACTGCAGTGACTTGGAGGACAGCCAAGCAGACTAACAAACACAAACAAAAATCTAATAAGATCATCAGAGAAGCT